ACCATTTCCACCTTAATCGCCGCTCCTCTGTCCCCACAAATCACACCGTGGCCAATGTGGGTCTGAGTGAAAATGCCATTGGCTGCACTTACAGCTGATTGGATGCAATTCGCATTGTGTGCCCCACTCTCCGCTGTGTTTGCGTCTTCCACACGCCCATGTGACTTGCTAAATGAATGAGGCCATCTGTCAAATAAATACAACAAAACAGACAATTGTTATTATAACTAATACATTACGTTATTTAGCAGACGCTCCTATCCAGAGTGACTTACGTGAAAATTTGTATGTGTTGTCCATTTATACAGCTGGATATTTACTGAGGCAATTATGGGTTAAGTACAGCTGCAGTGCCCCAGCAGGGAATTGGCCCGGGAACCTTTTGGTTACAAGCCCTGCACCTTATCACTATGCATCTACCTCTTACTAATACTAATCATACCACCACTGCAGCTGCTAATGTCATGCTAATATTAGCTCTTTCACTTCTGTACATCCTGATGAGAAATGTATGGATACAAATTGTATAGTTTGTATAGAGCATTACGCTAGCTCTTGAGCCACTATTCCAGATTTGTGTTCAGTGTTTGAGGACAAAGGCAAGACACCACAGAGAATGCCTGCCGGCAGTATGGTAATTCTCTAAGTGGAAACACTGGATTATTTTTTAGAACAAAAAGTAAAAACACTGCCCTTAATATGTCAATTAGGCTTTCTGATTTTTCCTCCAAAGTTTCTCAAAGCAGTGGTTCTGTTTTTTCTCCTATTTTCATTTTCCTATTAGGCTGAATCATTTCTAAAACAAGGGACTAACACTAATGAGTACATTGGTTTATATAAAGCTTCATTTTGCTTTCCACAAAAACAGCACATTTGGCTTGACATAACATACAACATTGCCTCTTTCAATTAAATAGCCCAGTAAACATAACTATTAAGACTCAGGAAAGATTAGTTTCCAAATCCCACACGGTGAAAACTTGAAAAATGGACTTAAAATCCTTTTTTTGTTGTTTGTTTGTTTTCAATAAAAAGTCTACTCCTGTGGGTCTGAAAATTAATAATGTTTTGCCTACCATGCCATAAACTGCAACACCAGGGGGAGCAGCGTGGATGTGTACTCAAATGGCCGCTCTCCCTAATTGTCTTTGGCTTAATCAAGGGTAAAATTAAAAACCTAGAGGTTACAGCTAATGGCTGATCCAACTTGAGCCTTATCAGTGCTAAGTCTGCTAATAACATGGAAAGTCGGCGCATGGTAGGATGTACATGGCGGACGTCAATATAATCCAGGAGAGCAAACCACTCAATGTGAGGATTGATCATGGACTGCACGTAAAGACAAGGATACAGGAATATGTGAGCAGGCTTCCAGAAGCTTGTTCTCTCTGGGAGTTTAGGCATTGATGCTTACCTGTGAATACCAGCCGTTCCCCACAAAGAATGTTTTTTTTCTGTTTGGCTGCTTGGCTTCAGTATGATAACTGAATGCAGCGAACACTCTTTGACTGTAGAATGACAACAGTGTCATGGGGGTGTTTTCAGGGGAGGGTGTGGTAGGTGTAGTTACATATATGAGGATATGAAATGAAATATGGGGACTACATTTGGGACAGCCTGCTCTGTCACAAGCTGTCAGATAATATACTGAAGTAACAAATCACTTTTTGTGATTGAGAAAAATGCACTACTACTAATATTACTAACACTAAAACACGATTACTGCTACTCCTACTGCTACTACTACTACTATTAGTAATGATAATAATAATAATAATAATAATAATGAGCATCCTCTCTGTGCCCATTTCCCATTGTAACAGTTTTATTATTTTCATATGGTTAAAGTTTTAACTAAGCATGCATTCATGATAGCAGAGAGGATATGAGAAGCTCACCCCCCCCAGCCGCAGGTCAGTGTAGCAGTATCACAGGGTCGGTAGAATTAGCCATCACTCCGCAGGAAGCTGACAGTGATCTGTCTACTGAACACTGCTGCAGCCGCAGAGAGCGGCTGAGCGGACCTCGCCTCAACCGCACATCCAATATCGTCCGGAGCGACCAATCAATCCACCCTGATAGGGGAACAACCGTGGAGAGAGGGAGACGGAGAAAGAGAGGGTGATGAAATAAGATGGGGAACAGATGAGACGGAATTGCAGTAGAGATTGAGAATCAAAGGGGAACAGGAGGAAATTACTGTATAAACAAGGAGGTGATGGAGATGGGGGGGAGAGGAGGAGAAGCAGTATGTTTGTGGAAAGGAAATACCAAGCCCCCCCCCATCACGAAACGGATTGTCAAAAAATACACTACAAGAGCTTAAGCCAGTGAAACTCAGCACTGACCAGCTCTCGCTAAACCATTAGCACCCTCTCATGTGGAGAGGGAGGGCTCTGAAGCCACAGGGCAGATCAGGTGAATCGGATAGCAAACTGCTTGGGAAGCATGAAAACCTGTACAGACTGGCACTCTGGATCAGAACAGAGACACTCAGGCTTAGACCAGCATCACGTCACTCTCTCCCTGGGATTGTCCTCATGTGTCTGCCTACCCTCCCTGGTCTTCCCCGACACACACACTCTCTGGGGAGAAAATCTGACCTTGGAGTCTGTATTTTTAGGGCCTGAGTCCGGGCCCTACTGACTAACAAAGATAATATAGTTCTGGCAGTGGCTGAGGAAAAAAGTAGTGTTTGGAGGAACTCACAATGAGAGGAAAGCCAGAAGGAAGAGCACATGTGGTGGTTTAATTATCTTTGTTGGATGTAACATTCAAGAAAAAAGTAACTAGTTAGAGGTCGCACTAAACATAAAGCATTTGTGTGGGTAAATTGCCTCTCTGTTCAGGGAGCCATTATAAAATTAATGGAATAGAAGACAGTAAACGTCAAGCCCACATGTTTTCTTGTCGAACAGTTAATTAAGTGCACTTCTCACGCTCTTGCGGTTAACAGCAATCGATACCTTACCTTCTGGGTTTAGTTGGACACCCCCCCATCTTCCAGGAATACATTAACCACAGTGGACTGAGGCTGATACAAAGGGTTTATCCTCCTCTGCAGTGCCACATGACAGCAATAATCTATACATTTAATTGAATTCATTGGCTGTAAATCAGTTACTCCATATTACCCCATTCCTCATATTTTCCCCATTTAGCCCATCCCACGTCTTTTTTTGCAATTACCTCAGGTCGGCTCATTTTACGCAACAATAGGCACTTCAGCAGTAACACTGGAAAGAATTTTTTTCCAGGTCTGAGTGAGACAATTGGATGGCAGGCTGTGGTGAGTGGAGGGATATACAGTATGTGAGGCATGTGGGCCATAAAGATGGATGAAAACTTAACAGTAACAGCTGAAAGGATGTAATAAACAATGTGTCCTTCCATTAAATTGTTCTGGTTTAATAGACGATAGAAATAGACATGCAGTTGGTCTGTATTCATCAATGACATTGCAGAGTTGAGAAATGGTGCACAGGTGAGCGAACACGGTTATGTGCGGTCAGATGTGTTTGGGTTCCTCACCCGTCTCGCTCCTGATATGCGTGCCCTGCAGGGTGACCTCCGCCAGGCATAGGAGGTGAGGTGTTGAGTGGGGTGACAGAGAGAAGCAACTCATGCGAGGAGAGAGACTGGCATGGAGGAAATGAACCTAGAGTCACAGAAACGCAAAGCAATGAGGAAACATGAGCCGATTTAAGGAAAACTCTATGAGGAAAAAAAATCATGCTATCACTTAAAATTTGAGCACAGCCTCTGTGACAGAATGGCAAGTGACTATCCTTTAATCCTACCTACCAGGAAAGGGCCAAAAATAGGTTCTCCTGGGTTCTCCTTTTATCTCTCTTTTTTTCCAGACAGAGCCCCTTATCAACTGATATATTATCCATTTATCCATATAGATTTTCACTGGAAAAATTAATTTAATATTTGCCAAAATTGAATTCTTTATGCAAAGAATACTTTATGCAACTAACAAATGCAGGCCCTGAAAATGTAGATTCACATGAATAAAGAGAATTACAGTACACGGATATCGATGAGTTAGCTACTCAGTCACAGTGCACATTGCACCCCCAACCCCCACCTACATATGCATGTTTCAATAGCACTAATATTTGTAAAACTTTGCTGTGCAAACCCCCTCCCCCTCAGAAAAAAAGTAATGAGCAGACATAGCATGCCAAACCATTGCACCAGTGCTAACAGAAGCCCTCTGCGGATGATCTCTCTGTTGCCCTCTCCAAAGCTCTCCCATGGTGCCCTCCTGCCCTGGCTCCTGAAGGGTTAAGTCCGACACTGCGTGCTTGCCACTGCTCCCCCCCAGCAGCAGCCCGGGTGGAAGGGTACAGAATCGCGGAATCGCTCACTTGCCAGCCCCGCCGCTGCCAATCCATCTCCGCTTCCCCTGCAGCTCCGTGGCTCCTCTCCTGCTCTCAGATTGTGCACAGACTCATTACTCCGACGTGGGGGATCAGAGCGCAACCCTTGCATTACCGCCAGCGTGTCCTCATTAAGGGAAAATGGGAACGCGTTTGCCACCTCCGCGAGATGAAGGAGGCGGCGCTTTCCTGTTCTCGGCGGGCGAAGCGGGCCCTCTTTTTGTAATAAGCGTGCCGCTCTGATTGTCCCGCTCCGAGGGCCCCCCCTGCGCCCGCTGCTGCGTCCCTTCCCTCAGGTCCCCCGTCCCGCTGCTCGCTTCCCCTGGCACGGGGGCAGCCTCGCCTTCTCCGTCCAGCTGGCAGGGCGGCGTTCCGCTCCCGTAATTCACACAGCGCACGCTGCTCTTCTGACACGGTCCGGAACCTTCCGTCTGACCGCATGGCCCTGTCTGCCGAAACAAGCAGAGCAAGCTTTTCACACGTTTAGGATTTTACACAAGGTGATATTTACAAGCAATAATTACATATGTGTATCACCCATACATGTCAGACTGTATTTTGTCGCATGTTTTGCCCTGATGGCATGTGGAGAGCCATATCATTGCCCTCGAAGAGTGTAGTGGCACAGTGGATTACATGTCTGACTAAGGATCAGGAGATTCTAGGTTAAACTCCTGGCTGGCTCAATGCTTTGGGGCAGCAGTGTAGCATAGTGGGAAGGAGCAGGGCTCCTAACCTAAAGGTTGCTGGTTCAATTTTCTGCTGAGGCGCTGCCTCCGTACTCTTGGACAAGGTACTTATCCGACAATAGCCTCAGTTGCTCTGGATAACACTGTTTGCTAAATGCCAGTAATGTAATGGGACTCTCTGGAGGAACACCTGTAAAGAGCTGGGCTACCTCTGCCCCCTTTTACCCTGGAGTCACCCTTGTATTCTTCCCAAGATGCCTGGAACCACGATGCCTGAAGAGTCACTCAGTCAATCATCTGACCTGTATTCCCAGCAGAAAACATGGAGCCACAATGCCCTTGCATTTTCACAAGACTGGAGGATCATGGGAGGACATATGGGTGTATAGAATAACGGCCTCTTTCCTTTATCCTGCCCTGTGAAATGAAAGCCACATACTTAGTGGCACGTAACAAGCCAGCATGGACGTATAATGTCTCCCGTTTGAGTCATAACCTGCTCATAACACTCTGGGTCAGCAGTAACTCAATAAAGTTGTTGTGTGAGCCCTGTCTCCCCCCCCCCCCCCCCCGCAACATGTGCGCACACACACACAGCGCACAACATCATTTAATGTGCCTAGATGGAGACATTTCACGAGGAAACAGATGCTTTCGGGCCCCCCTCCATGCAATCTCCTTCCTCTTATAGCGTCCCCCTCCCCAGGAGAGGAGAGGGCATAAATGAATGATCACTTCAGCGGTGCAGGATAAGACATTTTTAAACAGCCGGGGTGTTAAAAGGCACCTTGGGTGCTTCTAAGAGAAATTGCCTTCTGAGCTCCGCCTTGCCAATGATGGAGAGTCCGCATGCCACTATTCATGCGATAAACATTACAGCCTGAATTTACTGCAGGGCTGTGCATGCGCTGTACAGCTAAAAAGGCAACAGAGGCTTGCAAAAATGTATGCAGGATTTACAAACCAGTTATAAAGGGTTTAGTTCAACATGAAGAACTGTTTTTGTGTACTTTAGTCAAAAATGAGCTAATTCATTTAAATTATGTTAACTTAAAATTATAGATTGTAAATACAGTAATAATAGAGATTTGGAGATACATAGATATCTAGACTAGACTATCTAGACTTCCACAGATATATAGATAGATAGGTGGATAGACAGATGCCTTGCTGCACAAGAAGTACTGGGAGAAATATGTGAAAGGCATACTGGGAAATGTATATTGATTGATTTATTGATTGATTGTCAGCTGTAGTGGAGAATTGCCTTTGGCTCGTCCCCTATACAATAAATATCAATTCAACATAAATATGTACATACAAAAGTACATACAATACATACAAAACATATAATAGTGCAGAAGGGTGGTAGCAGCAGGAGAGTCATGACATCACAATGAGGGTAAGGATGCAAAATGGTCTCTCCAGCAGTTACAGAGTTCAACACCTGTATGGAGTATGGAATAAATGATTTTTGTACAGATTACTGTTTAGCCCTTGAAACCCTAAACCTTCGGTTAGACAAGAGCAGCTCAAACTGTGTATGCATGGGGTGGGGGGCATCTTTAATTATGCTTTTTGCCTTCCTATGCACAGAGATGTTGTGGCTTGCTTATCACTTTCCCAGAAATCTTGACTATTTTAGACAAGGGGTTATTGACTGTACAGCATAGCTTTGGAATCTGATGCGATGATGACCTGACACTGTTCCTCACTCTTTACAACATGTGTGCGCAGTAACTGAGCTGTCAGCTTCCTTACTCTGCACAGAGTAATGGTCTAGAATTACAACCAGCGGCTTCAAAAACAACTTTAAATGGGAAAGTCAAACCGTTAAAGTCAGTTTAAAGGTCTTTGCCATTTGGAGACATGCTTTGTTCTGCCAACCTGTTACTCGCAAGTTATGTAAATATAAGCTAAATGACCTAGCAGGGAAAGAGAAAGGAGGGAGGGAGGGAGGGAAACAGAGGAAATAAACAGACAGAACACATGTGTGTTAAAGTGTGTGCTTGTGTGAGACGGAGAGACAGAGCGAAAAGCACGAGAGACCGTGAAGGTGCGCTAACCCGGCCTGCGGGTCACAGCTTACAGATTGGTGGTCTTAATGAGAAGGCAGAACTGTACACGCTTCAGACTTCAAGGGGGCCCCTGCGGCGCGCCTCATCATCCAGGTGGCCAGGCTTCGCGGCGAGCAGATGAATCCCGGGCACCGCCGCCCTGACCCTGGCAGCCATCTGGGGCCTGCAGGCAGGGCTCATTAGACAGCTGGCGACGCTGTCCGGCGCACTCTCCTCTGCCGCCCTGTCTCTCAGCGTTTCCAAAAACGAGGCACGACCGAAAACGGCCGCCCAGCTGCTTCATAAATTCACACGCACCTCATCATTGCGCAAGCTTTTGCAGTTGTTGATAGCAGTTGAGTAATACACATGATGAAATGTTTCATAAGAGTGGAGATTGTGAGTTTTGTGTATGATCCTGTTTGGGATGCTGTTTGCGTCAGATAAGCAATGTAGTTTTGCCTTTAAGGATGTAGAATTGTGGTATTTTGTGGTTCAGACTATTCTGGAAGAGGCACTGCCGTACTCTACGTGTTACTGTGACTGCCTCCCACCTCCTCATCCCCCATCTAACAACATCATCTCTATGAATGGGTTATGAGTCATAGAATGTACAAATGCATTGCAAATTTGTCTCAATGAGGGTATTTAAAGCCACGCTTAATTCAAAATGTGCATTCAATATGTGTGCAAGGAAAAGGACAGGACAGCCACCATTGTGCACTTGTCCTAATTTTTACCAACAAAGAACAGGGTTCTTGAATTGGGTCAGGATAGTATGGACTCATTTTCCTCTAAAACATGCTTTAGAGAAGTGTGAAAGACAAAGGGAGACACTAATCCAGACTGTGCATTATGTGTGACAGGGAAAGACACAGGGAGGTGTATGTGTGTGGACTTGTTTATGTGTTTATACTTCTTTTGGCCTTTGTATATTGAATATTTTTGCCTTTGCATTTGCTGTTTTGTCCAAGGTGACTTCCATACGCCTGTGTATTTCATGTTTTTCTTGTAATCTACGCATCTGTATTCTGTTTATCTTTATAAGAGCCCTTATTTTGGCTGCCGCTCATGGGGGTTTGGGCAGGAAATTCCCAATGACCTTGTACCAGTCTCCCAGTACATATGTGCATCCTGTATTTCTTCTTCAAACTCAATGAGAAGAGAAAGATAATCCAGTTACTATGCCCCCTGGTTGTGCTATACACTTCAAAGGACAAGATTATACCTTTGAGGGGTCTTGAATGTGAAAAATAATTTCATTTCTGATGACTGCACATGTTTTGGATTCCAACATGTCTAATTAACCCAGATAATTTTACAGATACTGTTCCATTACCCCTCTACTGCAAGCTAATGTCTTTTTGTATTGCACGTTTCAAGCAAATAATGCTGCAACTGTGAACCAGGTCTAACTGGATTTTAATCTCAAGCAACCTGTTTTAAACTGAGGCTAAATACGAAATAAAGGACTGTTGCTGTGGTCCATCTATAGTTTCTGGTTATTGACTAATCCTGCAGTTTAATTGGCTGAATAATTCCCTCCATCTCCACCTCAGCTGTGTGGTGAGTGTTTTGGTGCAAAATGGCTGCTGGGCATCACCTGCACATCAATAGTTTCCAATATGAGTCACCCCCTCACCCCCCTTTCACTGTAAAGTACATGGAGCTCCTTGAAAGGTACTATATATGGTAAATACAGTTATTTTTAATATAGACCAATCACAGCTTTCCAAATTCACAGCACAGATAAGGCACGCTATCTGTACCGTCAGGTATTCAGTGATGCTCAGAGAGGATAAGACATGAATTTATTAATTTTCCAGGATGCAAAGACCCTCAGCATGTTAGCTGTGGTATACATTTTCAGTCCTTATATATTGTGCCCAAGATTTACCACACTAGATACTAGTTAATGTTATTGTAGTAATTTCTATTATTACATTATTTTCAGTCTGACTCAGTTCCCCATGAATTGTTCGAGGAATGGAAATTTTGCTCCATGTGCCTGGTTGCTTCTGTCTGTTCGTATTTGTTGCTTGGCAGGTCTGTCTTCAGGAGTACAGAACAACTGGCCAGATGTGCAGGCAGGGGTGACATAAAAGGGATCTTGAGAATCTAATAGTTAAAACATGCTTGCACAGCAGTCCAATTATTAGACTCACAGAGCTTTCATCTGACGTTGCAGTTACGTTCCATAAACGTTGTGTACGAGTAATTCACACTTGTGTGGCAGCAGCACCTTCACAGAAATGCCTTTGCATAAAAAAACACCGTTCTCGGTACTGAAAGGAAGTCATGGATCGATGGTAAACAGCGTCAGGGTAAAACTGCTGACAATGGAAGTGGAAAAGTCATTGCAAAACGACGTTTTTATGTACGTGTATTCATACATTCACATTTATTCATCTGACAGATGCGACTAACAATGGAAGATACATTACGGTAGTTCACATAATGGGGCCACATGGGTAATGAATGATACAGTGCAACACTACCCATGATGCCAGACTGAAAATACTTTTTTTAAAGTGTTTTGGCAATGAAGAAAGCACCACTGACTGAGGAACAAATGTTTCAACTTTTAAAAGAGTGCTTCAGTGACCACAAAGCTTTTGAACTAGTGAAAAAACAGCAGCTGTTTGGCTCTTATCATAGACAGTGCGTTATGAAACAGTTGTTGAAAAAGGAAACTTAAAAAATTAGATGGAAGCGGAGGCAAATACAGCATCCTGCTAAGTTTAATGCTGAGTCACTGTCACTTCAGAGGCGGCTCAGTCGAGTCGCGAAATGGTTTGACCTCTACTTAGTAACAATTAGAGCACTGTGACTTGCCACTGTAACTTACAGAGCGTGTTTGTTTTATTCCAGGCCTAAATGTCTTGCTGTTATCCTTTTGGGAGTGGAATGGCGTTAGCTGGTGCACTCTCTGCTGCACTG